AGCACCAAGCTGGCCAGCCCTTGGTTCTTCTGGCAGCTCACTTTGGTTGTCTGGCCAGGTGATCTCTTAAACCTTCGCTCAGTCGCACTAAAACTCTCGTCACGTGAATCCTACTGAGAACATGCCAGCAACCGCTGAGTCAGAGCTATGGCATCGTTAAGAGGCTATGTACGTAGGACTGTAGTAGCACGGGTCATTTGGACGCGGGTTATTTTCGCCCCCAATGTGTGGTCGTATCAGGTAGCCGTGGTTAACGACCAGCAAGTTGCTACAGCCGACTGTGGGATGAACCAAGACTCCTTAGCTTGCTTTTAGAGAACAACTGCTCCAGTTAGCTTGTATGGGTATGCTTGATTTAGTGAATGGTAAATTTCACTACATATAGGTACGTGTAAAGAAGTAGCCATTGCGGGGAGGTTCATATAGCCGACTTAGCGAAGGCATAGGGCGGAATTGGCCTTCACTTTAAGTGAAGGCCCATTAAAGTGAAGGCCAATTCCGCCCCATGCCTTCGCTAAGTCACACTTGTCACGTAGTATTTCAAGGACTGCTCTTTAATCTACTCATGTTATAATAATATTATGTGGAGTTTGACAAAACCAAGATATCAATATGAGAGATGGCGTAGTGGAGAGCTCCGGACATTTGGGCCTTCTTGTTCTTTGACGTGCTCTGAAATCACACAGTACGTGGCTTCGTAAGTTTTTCTAATATATTAGCTGTCAAAAACATTCGTTGTTGCACTCGAAAATATGTTTATATTTTACGTTTACCATGGAAACTCGTGGGACTTAAGGCAGGCCCTTGTGAGATGCCCGCAGTCACTTCATTTTATGTTCGCACCTATCACGGAGCTTGTTTTTTGTCGCAGTTGACCAATGGCGAGGGGGAGGGGCAAATACGTGGCGGTTAAATTCGGCTCCCTCTAATGAATTATTCTGTGCACTCTTTTGTTAACACAAGTAATAAAATGCCAAACACAATTGGATTATAAGTACCTCTGAGTGGCGCTCCCATGTACTCCCATAATCGATGGCACACAACCGGAAACAAACACGTGTCAAGAACTAAGAAAAAAAAACGTTTCTTTTTCTTAGTTCTTGACCCGTGTTTGTTTCCGGTTGTGTGCCATAACGCAATTTTTGTTGTATCACGTTGTTGATGATGACAGGGAAAGTCAGGAATGACGTACTGCGTGTGAAGTATTTATTAGTGTTCGCTTCAATATCAAATTTTCAGTTGCTAGTAAGCGCTTGTCTATGTCCTCTCTGAGTGTGTGTATTTTTAGCGCTTGTTTCATCATGAGTTGTTTAAGCTTTCGAATGCCCGGAAAATTAGGACTCGTTGACCACGGTAAACTTCGGCATTATTATTATTTTTATGTCACTCTTCAAAGCAATGAAAGTAATCAAGAGAAGCAATTTAAGCAATCTGGGCAATTAAGCTGGGAAAACATGCTGGTTGAAAAAATATTTTCGAAGCATTTTGTGATAATGTAAAGTTGATTTTATTTTCAATAGACAGGTGAGTCTTCCAATTAATAAAGGCTGTGGGAGAATATCTCCTCCTACCGCTGAAAGTTTTTTTTTTTTGCTCCAGTATCAAAGCTTAAAATGATAAGAATTCTCATGCATAGGGCACCCATATTCACTATAGAGAATTGAAGTCCGTTGTCTATTAGCAGGTCTTATTTTAAAAAATATTATATTACCTATGAATTACCATACCTATGAGCACAAGTCGTAATAACTCAGACTGGGTTGTCTTGACAAACTGTAAGCTGTGTGCCATGACGCAGCGTTGTACGTGTAGGTGAAGCAGCTAGAACAGCGGGTTGCGCAGCATGGAATTAGGTCCGGGTTCAAACGCATGCATGAGTTTCAGCCCTGAGCTACTGCTATTACTCCACTCCGCGAACTTTTGCAATCAATACAGTGTTGATTTTTTTAAATAAATACTCCGTTCGATTTTACTGACACTTCACTTTAGCATGACATTACATATTGGGCATTCATTATGCCAAAAACAACAGCAATAAAGTGCATTCATAACATCTGCAAATTCCAGATCTTTTGAGAACCTACTAAAAGTTTATTCCCAGCATAACTATTGCAAATTCATTAGCAACATCCAGCAAACATTGAACAAAAAATGATTGACTGCACTTCTCGTAAACTGACAGGATTAAAATTGTCGATTGTAAATTCATCAAAATATTTTTTGGTTTTAATTATTGTTATGCCATTCTAATATTGTATTCATATCAGTCCTATGTACTGCTCACTTAGTAGAGCGTGTAATTTTATTTGTACATGTGCGTGCTATTTATCATACACACCTTATTTGTCATGCAATTAGATGCCTATATAGCACCAGAGGCAAACTGAGGTGAAATTTTTTCAATGTCATCTTTTTGCCGTAAGCGCTATGACATTATTGCATCACAGCACAAATATTAACAAAAAGTATTAGTATAATAAACAAAAAGTTTTCTTTTTTGGTTACTTATAGGTACACTGCCGTTAAGCATGTTCCCAAACAGTAATATTTCCGAAGAAAACACTGGATGCATTGGTTTAAAAAGGCCTTGGGGTAGGTGGCATGTGGAATGTGTCACGCCGTAAAGATATACGTGCGACAGCTACAAATACACCGGCACTCTACGATTTGCTGATCTCATTGTCGGTATCAGTAATATTGCACATGAATTCCAATAAATGTTCATAACACGCTACTTAGAAGAAATAGATAAACTGGTAATGAGGTGTTTATTAAAGAAAAAAAAACAGGCTGGACTCGAGAAAGCAAACTGATTATACGTGTCGGACACCACGTAGCTATTATGGATATTTCAGTTCGAATAATGCAGAAAAGAGCGTGACTACTGCTTTATTTACGGACGCTATGACACCGCGAAGTGCAAACAGGGTTTGGGCCTAGCTGCTAGCTGCTAGTTGCTAGGCCTAGTTACTAAGTCTAGTTGCTAGTTGCCATCAGGTATTAGGCCTGGACCTGTTGGCTGATGTAGAGAGGCAGCGGAGCAGAGAACTTATGCGAAATGTTTGTGACATATCCTGGTGCTTGGGGAAAAGAGGGAGTGCAGGCGAAACCTTTATAGATAAGGGGGCAGTGGAAGCCCCTCCGTGCCTGGATCTCCTCTCCCTCCACCCCTGAGAAGCACGCGCCGGCTGAATAAGTATATCACGTCACATCTTGCATACGTGCACGAGGGCGCTAACTAAATGTTCTCATTTCAGTGCCACTGCGCTCCTCCTTGCCATACTTCCCTTAAAAGGCAACTGAAAAGCATTCGTCCTCGTGATGTCGCGTAGACGCCTCTGATTGTAGATCCAGAAATGAAGTGATTGCATTTAGGCCTTCCTTCAGAAGAGAGTGTGCAATGCGTTAGAGTTAACATTTACAAAGATTGCCTACTTTATCAAATAGAAATGAGCCCACCATTAAGTGAGCTGTTTGACTACATTGGATCAATTGTATGTTTCAGTAAAATACATTGCAGTAATGTTAGCATTGGTGCTGTAGCTTTATATAACGTAGTTAATTTTCGAACGCGTTTCAAGGTAGTAAAATAGTTCTAAATTTTTCTGCAGTCCTACTTCGTTTACGGGCCTGTAAGCATTTTTAACTTAAAAAACGTGTTCAGGACTACGTGCCATAACAAAAAGAAGAAAAAAAAAAACTAAATACTCTCCATGTTTTGGCCGGCTGCATCGAATTCATTTTCCAACCTGCTCTTAGCTGCACTAACAACATTTACACTTTATTGATTGATAAGGGCGCTTTAACGTACCAAAACCACCATATGATTATGAGAGACGCCGTAGTGGAAGGCTCGGGAAATTTCGACCATCTGGGTTTCTTCAACGTGCACCCAAATCTGAGTACACGGGCCTGCAACATTTCCACCTCCATCTGAAATGCAGCCGCAGCAGCGGTAATTTGATCCCGCGACCTGCAGGTCAGCAGCCGAATACTTTAGCCATGCGACATTTACAGTGCTCGACTGAATACGACCTGAAATATTCTGAGAAATTTGAAATTTTCTATGGTCTGGTGGTTTCAAAACATGTCAGCTCTACTGCACATATCGCATTGAATGCATTGCGCGCTAGCTTCGACTTGACACTGATCTTTTTTTTGTCTTAGTTTCAGTGCTCTAGGAATGCAGAACCATGGCAACATTCTTGCGAGCACGTCTCCAGAAAGTTCAAGAGTATCGTCATGCATTTCTGGCACGCAATGCGCGTGATAACACGTTGGCAATCCCTGAAACAACTTTCTCATGGTCCAAGTATTTTCTTATTTTACTAAAGAGTAGACAACCATTGAAATAAAATATATGCTAGTTGTAAATGCTGCACAGCAGAACCACTTGCTAAAATCAACGTCTAGCTGTAAGTGACGACCCGCGCGCACGTACTTACGCAATACGTGCCGAAAAGCCAGGCACTCGCGTTCGTTGCCAGAGACCCTACAACGGGGAGCTAGTCAGAATTGGGAGAGAGCAACGCTTTTACCGCTAGGCACATTGCTTACGTAAGGCCCGAAGCATAGTCATATCCAGCCACGCGTTCCACAAACAAACGTGGACGATGAATGTTCAGGCTTCCAGACCTGCTTCGAAGGGCTGAGCCGTGCCAAGCTCCCCCTCACTCGTAAAAGCTTTCTTCGGCTCGAGGCAAATAAACCGTGAGCTATCGGCACCAAAACTCAGGTTTGAATGGTAGGCCTCCGAAAACCACGGCGCTGCGGCAAGATGCTGTCTTGCCTTGACAGATGACCCCCGAAAGCGTTGGCCGTCAAAACATACACACCGTGGCCTCAATAACAAATCTACGCAGACCATGTGTATCCAGTGCGGCAGCCATTCGTAGGAAGGGTGTTTTCAGAACGCGAAGAGGTCTGGCGTGGGCTCTGGTTCGCTGACCCTGTGGTCGTTCCTTCAGCATAAGAAGGCAGCTCCGCTGAAGCCTCTTTCAGAAGCTCTTGCTAGGTAGAGCCAGCAAGGACGCCGCACGAAAACACGACCATGAAGGACCTCAAGGGAAAGGTTGCTCTCGTAACTGGAGCTGCGACTGGCTTCGGAAAGGCGATCGTCGATCTTCTTCTGAGCAGAGGATGCAAGGTAAGGTCACTTATAAGGACCAGAAGGCCGTGTACACGTTATCAAAGCACTAAACTCTGTTTCGGAGAGTTGAAGCTTGCAGAATCAGTGATGCCAAAAAAGAGTCCATTGTTGAAAAGAATTCTAACTCACCTGTAACTTAGAACTGTGGCAGCTTGGGCTAGTTGGTATGGAATGACGATAGTTATAGCGCGAGAACAAAACGGCGACACAGAGACAAGAAGGACACGAAGGACACTAGGTGTCCTTCTTGTCTCTGTGTCGTCGTTTTGTTCTCGCGCTGTAACTATCGTCACTTGTAAAGTTGAATGATCACAACAATATTTTATATCGATGTATATACGGTGTATGTCGCAGACCTGTTCTAAGAACATTGCTATGTGTATGGATATTAGGCTTCTCATATAGATGTCCCATTCGTATTGAAGATTCATGCCTCCAAGAAGCATAGTCGTATCAACAGGTCCTCGAGAATCAGGCACGACTACGATTCTGCTGTCTTTTTCTAAACTTTCGCTTTATTCTGATGTGATTGAAAACATGTGAAAATCAACGTTGAGCTCGTAATGCTTGACTAACCAAACGGTTCCATCTTGAAAGCTCACTAATAGCAGCTGTAAAATAAAACGTGCTGCAAATTCACTTCTACTGAAGCATCTGCGTATGTTTACTGCCTCAGTTTATTAAGTTTGCACCACATGATCACCCCCAATCCTATGTTTTCAGTTCGGTTTGGTAACTGATATCGCTGAAACACTCATTAGGTTTAAATGATCGGTACTGTTATTTTTTTAGCTGAAATACTCCCCACCCACCCAAATGCATTCATTGCTTTACAGTGTATGCCGACGTATACTTGCCTATTATGACTCAACAAATGTGAGAACGTTTAAGAGAGAACACGACAAACTTGTCTGTTTGCGATGGTACATTCTCAAACGCTGATCACCTGATCTTTGTGCACGGCTCCATTTGCCCTACGTGTAAGAAATTGTACGTGGCTCTTTGTCATCAATTAGAAGCAACGCTATAGCCCATGAGGTCACAGTGTTTACGCTTAATTGATCAACAAAATGGACAAAAAAGGAGCTGCCTCTGCACGTCCATCATTAAGTAAACATTCAAAGACGAACTATATTGTTTTATTTGCACACATTTGTTAATTGTCATTGAGCATCCGCTGCCTCGGCTACGTCTTACAGGTAGCTCTTCTGGACATGGACTGCATTGTAGGCAAACAGACAACCGCGGAGTTTCAGGCCAAGTATGGGAAAGATGGGTGTATCTTCCTGAGGTGTGATGTCACGGACGACCAAGAACTTGACGGTAAGTTTATTCCGCCAGTATCGGCTGCACTGAAATAACGGTCAAGTTATTTTGTATGCAAAAATAAAAGCAAAGAGCTGGAGAACCCTGAAGCTTTGCCTTTAGAAGTTGAACAGAATAGCGACATCCGGTCTCTAGTGCGTACTTCAAGCACTTAGTGCACAAAGCCTCTTCGAACTTGCCGTGCACCCACTACGTGACATTAAAGAAATAGGCCCAGTAATGTGTCAGCTTTTTGTAGCGGGTGACCTGCTTCAATCCATGAAGTCATTACGATAATCACATGTTCGGACGCCCAGTGTCAATGTACGCTTGTACTACGCCATATTACTGCAATATTTGATGTATTATGAAGCATGTACACAGGACGTGTGTGTATGTAAAGCATGAAAGTTACTTTCACTGCAAACAGAATTAGTTATTTTCACTGCGCACACTGGAACCCGCCTGGGTGTGTGGTAGAACGTACGCTTGCCACACAAACGATGCGGGTTCGATTCCCTCTTGGACCCAACGACATGCGTTTGATCCCCACTCTGACCCAAGATGGTTTTATTATTTCTTTTGTTAGCATCCTTCTCGGCATTTCGGTCACGCGTAAGGGCATACCTTTTTGCTCTCAACCAACGACACCGACGCGCCAAATTCTGTGAAACGAGCTCTCTAACGCTATCGCGTCACTCATTATTCATCCTATATAGTCACAGAGCACCGGTATGTTCCCAGAAACGTTATGCTAACCAAATGACAGCAAGCGTTGCCAAGCTCTGCCAGTTTCAGAAAACAAATGTATTAGGCGGAGAGACAGCACATATACCGAAGAACTGTTGGCGCTGAAGAATTGTTGTGCTGAGTGAACGTGATTCTCCTAAATTTTTTCTTTCTTTAGAACTCCAACTCACGACGCCAATGGCGTGGTTGTTGCTTTAGGTTCGCGGCGCCAAACACACATACACAGCACACTGGCAGAAACTGGGACTCCACAGTTTATGCAAATGCATTATAGAACAGAAAAAAGGCTCTATCCTCAGGCTAAAGTAACTCTGCGTATTTTACAGGACTTTCGTAGGTTAAATGTTTCGTGCGCTGTCTCTCGTAAGTGTTATGGCGAGTTAGACATTTCTTCGGCCCTTCTCTTCTTCCTTCTGCCAGGGGCGTAGACGAAGTGGGGAGGGGGTAAACATTGCCCCTATGCCCGAAATGTTTCATTTTTGCATGCCTATGCATACACGTACACACAATGGCACGCACGACCATATACAAAGTATAGTTAGCCCCCCTCCCCCACTCCAGAAAATATTTCTGGCTGGGATGGAGCATCTCCTTTATAACGGGGTGGTCACATGTGTGCCACCAGGCTCGCAAGAGAAAACGAAAAAGAAAACTTTCGTTCGGCATGCAGGAGCAACGCCCCTGCATACCACCACCAAGTGAGGTTTACATCAATCATTTTAATTTGTATGCCTACTAAATGCTGATGTTATTTATAACTTGCATGCTGGACAGAAGTATTGACTACACTTTATGATAAAATTTGCTTAGTAGCCATCACGTGTTCAGTAGCTCGATACAATATATTGCTGACCAGAGGGGCTGACACCCAGAGCAATCGTTTACACGGTTCATACTAAAATCAGAAGGAGTTTCAGCTGTCACTCTTTCAGCTTCTTTCCTTATCGTATTGACAAGCACGTCGTGGATGTTCAGGAACTCGACGGCTGCTTCTGTGTCCTTGTGTGCTGTTCCATGGACAGTTTTATGTCTCAATCCCCTGATTAGGCCACTGGATATGGCAGACCATTCTCGGAACAAATGGTTGCAAGAGATCAGCCTCACTGTCTTAATGGACTGTACTTCTCATCGGCTCTTGTTTCTTCATTGCTCATCCTTGTCGAAGTGCTTGGGGCAACCAATTATGTTTGACAATATAGTGGTCGTTCGATTGTTTCTTCTATCCTTCGACGCTCTTTCCCACGTCAGTTGAATTTGTTTGAAGTGGACGATGGGACAAACTGTGCACACCGATTACTCTGAGTTTTATGGTATTATAAACGAGTCTCAACGTTGCACAATTTCGCTTCATGCCGCTGCTTTCGTGTCGTTTAATTACAGACTGTTTCTGCCGGACGCGCGCCAACTTCTGCGGCCTCGACATCGTCGTCAACAACGCCGGCATCGCGGGCGAGGCTAAGTGGAAAAAGATATTCGCCATAAACACCGTAAGTGCTTTGCGAAACGAAATACGTACTTTATTGAAGCGAAAAAAAATGATGCAGGTTACTCACAAAACAATAGGACAAAATTATAGGTGTGTCTTTCTCAGCTCGCGAAGAGGACACGTTCGTCTAGTTGGTCAGACATTATTGCTGCAAGAATGCTAGCGCATAAAATTACACATACAAACGACACAGACATAACAGTCATGGACGACGAGCTTGTTGGTTGTCTGTTTTTCTTGTCTGGTGTGTTTCACTTTTATAAATGTGGGATTTTTGGGCGCTAATTCTTACAGCAAAAATTTTTCAACTCCATTGGTGAATTACAGGGTAAGTTTGCAAGAGTTACAATTGTCTTTAAACGATGTGTTTTTTGTTTCGTCGCTTCGAAAAATCCGGCACACGCATCCCTGTGCATACATCAGAGGGCTGCCCAGTTAAACAAAAGTTGGCGCAGCTACTCACTCTAGCGATGTGCAGACTGAGAAAACAGTGAGGCTTGCGGCTTTCGCGCCTCATTTCTCTCCTTCACAATCTTACCCAGTGGGTATTGACGATGCTGACTCTTGTGATAGGTCGTAATACCTTTGAATGACAGCAGATATCCGCCTTCGAGTTGCAGGCATTCAGGATCTAAGCGGGATGACCGGTGAACGGGTGCTCGGGTGGCAGTGTTCGCCGCTTCATTCCCAATTAGGCCCTAGTGGCCTGGAGGGCAGACTAGGCAACGAGAGGTAGAGCCGCTTCCCCAATTGCTATAGTTCTATAAAATTCTTTCGCTAGTGTGTGATCCAGCCAGCTTCATAATTTCGACATGCCCCACGCGAATCTGACATGATACATCGCGATAGATGGTCAGAGGCCGCTAAGGCCATAGCTGCCTCTTCCGCCTGTGTTGTGGCAGGAGCTTTGAAAGTGAGTCTATCTACTTGCTTTTCCTCGTGAATTACCGCTCCCGTATACCCCCCCCCCCCCTGCAGTCAGGACTAGCCACGTTCACCTGAAAGACTCCGTGTTTATTTGGGCTGCGAGTCTCGCGTCTCTTGCCAAGCGTTCTTTTGCGATGCGTACCACGTATGGCAGAGATGCTGATAACTGCCCTTGGTGGCGCATTCGAAAATACCTTAGAGGTCTGGGTATGTTATAGTTCCTGGGTTCCTCGACATATGAGTTGCGCATGCACCCAGCCAATTCCCATTTTCTGTCCACATCCGGCGCCTCCCTCAAAAGCCCTCATTCGTCCCATTCAAGCGCCTCTATAGTAACGGACAACTCTATCGGCAATAGAGTGGAGTAAACACAGCTAAACCACGTGTATTGCACGCGTACCATACGTGTAGCTGCCTCCGTTTTTTCTTTTGCGTGGAATATCAGAAATATGCCTTCATTTCTTTTTTTTTTTCAGATATAGCTCTTTCAGAAACCACGCTGCACACACGAGTGAAACTAAGCATATCTTTTAGTTTTCGCGCTATCACTCTGCATTTGAAAGTCGCACCTTTTCCCGTACCTCAAACGCTGAGCGGATTCAACTTTGAAAATCAACGCTTATTGCACGAGGTTATTATTTTCCATTGCGGCCCGAGACGTTTGCCAAACGAACCAGACTGTATACATCGCGTAGGGCTTCATATGCAGAAGCCCCCTCCCCCATAGCTTTTTCTGCATTGCCAAGACGTCCCCAAGTGTAGTACACTCTTGCTTTACTGTAAACACGATGCGACGCAGCGCGCATGCAGTACGAGTGGCGGAACGTAGAGCCGACGTCGCGACAAAACAAGCCGTGGTGCGTGGCTCCGAGCCGGGCAGTCCAAATTAAGGAACGCGACAAGTCGTCGCCCGCTTGTTTATCCCGAATGCCAGCCACGTGCCGTCAAACGCGCACTGGATGACGGCTCCAAACCGTTCGAGACTCCCACGACGAGGCGAGCGCGTCATAAAGCTCCAATACTTGGACCACCTCTCTCCCACTTCCTTGAACATACTCACTCACTTGCGAACACAAACACGCAGTCGCACTTGGGTACTCTGTAGATTTGTATTCTTAGTGCGCCTAGATGTGCGCTTGCTCATGTGTGCATGAGCACGTATGTTACTGGTTTGTGCATGGGCTTATTATCATGCGTGTGGTTTATACGTGTGTTTGTGTAATGGAGACGTGCGTTGGTAAGAGGAAAGGTGTCATTCGATAAGCTTTTTTTTTTCTTTATTGCCTTCTTGACTACAGGTCAAGCTAATATGACAATCACTATCACACGTGTTTCATGCGTGACAACGCGTCAAACAAAGATATTACATCTTCATTACAGTCGGTAGTCTTATACACATCTCGCACTTTTATAACAGCTTCCACGAAGCACTCATTAACGGAATTCGTTTTTTGCCTTGTGATAGTTCTGTGCATAATTTGGATGTTATATTTGTACTTGGTCTTCATTCGGTTTGGCGTAGTATGCTATCGTACAGACACTGTGATGTGAGAGTTCTATCAGTCATTCGATAAGCGACGGGCCACGAATAGCCTAACCAAACGGTTGAGTAAGCAGTCTGTTTTATACGAAGGTCATGCTGGTCAAGCCGACGTTTTCTGCATTGCTGTGTTAATGTCCATCTGGTTGTCATCAAAGTGCAAGAGTGTCCTCTTCGGGAGTCAAGACCAGCTGTCTGTTCTTCCAGGAATAATAGTCAATGCTAGGCCGGCCATTCGGGACGGGAGAGCACATATGGTGCCATCATCTTCGTCGAGCACGAGGCAGTAATGTCGGCTTTAGAGGTACAAAAAAGCTCCTTCGATGACAGCCACGAGTCTGCCTGCGCGCAAGATTTGGCACTCAGTGCGAAGTTCAGCTGCTGCTGCCATGCACTTGCAAAACCTTAAAACGCCAAGTGTTTTAACAGTGTTGGCGACTTGATATTTAGGCGATGCGTGGCGCCAAGGTGTCAGTTCCACACTGTGCTATCCGATTCACTGTTACTGGGGCCTGAGAACGTAACACCAGGTTTAAGTTTCTTTCTTTACGTACTTTTGCTGACTTCAGCTGCCTGCACAACTGCAGCACAATCAGAGTTAACTACAGACGGTTTCAAGATTGCAAGCGTTGTGCCCCCACAAAACATCTGGTCACCTCATTTACCAGTTACTAACGTGTAAAATAAAAGGATGTTTTCAAGTTTTGTTAAGGATAAGGAAAGTCTCTTATTAGTGTTGAAGTAAAAGGAACGGGCGTAATGTTCAAGGGAGTCTCTTGAAATTTTTATGTCGCTCAAAAGAAATATCAATTCAATATATTTAGCTATTGGAGGGAAGAAAAGTGTAGAAAATCAGCAGACAACGTCAGAACATGTGACTATCATGAAGACTTCATGATTTAAAGCCGGTCAGCTACTACAAAAGCACGCACGTTACTGCGCCTATTACCTTAAGGCCACGAAGTTTGTGCATAGCAAGTTCGAAAAGATTTCATGCACGAACTGTTTGAAGTAACATTAGGGACAAGATATAGCTATCGCGCTCAATTCCTAAAGGGTGGGAGGGGCTTAAGAGTTCCGCAATTCTTTTTACTGAAATATAAAATGCCCGAAAAACACAAAATGTTCTTATACCAGGTACACGCCTAGATATCGCTGTGGAATTTTCACTTTATGGTCGAAGCTGGCGTTTTTATTGGAAAAAAGTATGCTTCGGCTATCGCCAAGCCGAATTTCGCACATCACTTCATAGCAATATAAGATATCATTGTATATTGAAACAATGCCAGTGAGACCATTCAATCAATTCGCCAATGGCACATGTCAATACTAGCGATATCGAAAACGTTGAGTTTGTATGCGTAATGAACCATCGTCGGTATCGCCAATCCGTATTACAGCATGACACAAATATTATATATATATATATATATATATATATATATATATTTATATATATATATATATATATATATATATATATATATATATATATATATATATATATATATATATATATATATATATATATATATTGTGCCACTTCATTCTGGCGGCAACCTTTCTTTTTAGTGGCACGATCGGCGAGTTATGTTGTTTTTTTAGGCACCCCGTTCCTACTTCTACTCTGGGTATTCTGAATATTCAGAAGCAGCGTTCTAAGAATCAAGCTGTATGAATCTGCGGTGTTGGCTCAAATGAAAAAAAAAGCTTTACTGGATACACATGATGTCGGATCTTCAGGTTCTTAAGATAACGACCAATTCACTGCAAGTATAAATATTGAAAATTACTTTAAATAGTTAATTGACAAAGCGGGCGCTCTTCAAGTGAGCAGCTGGGATAGTTGTGGCACCTGGCGAAGCGGATCTGAACCACGCGCCTGTTCTTGCGTGGCCTCCGAGATAGCTTTGGCAGCAAGACGAAACACAAAATTAACCCAAGACGCACACCCAGGAACACGAGTTCTGAATGGCCAGTGCCAGTGCCTCATCCTAAAGGAAGTGCTAGGGTGGCCTTCGATTTTTCTTCGTTCCTATATCAGCGATCACTGAAATCTATTATTTCCAACGCAGGAAGCCGTCTTCAGCGGAATTCTTCTCGGCTTGAAGTACATGGGAAAGGACAACGGACAAAAAGGTGGCGACATCATCAACGTCGCATCAGTTGCTGGTGAGGCATAGCTTGAACAATTAGTTAAAAACTATATTAACCTCAAATTCAGAGTTCCAAACAATCAGTTATAATTATGATTAGTGGGCACACTCTAAATAAAATATTAACACCCAGAATTCACCCATATTCACCTAATAGGAAGTGCACGAAGCGTAATGGCTTGAAACTTGGTCGTATTAATGAAGTTTTTTTTTTCTTTTTTTTCTGATGCCTCATTCAGGCCTCCGAGTGATGCCCACGATTCCGGCTTACAACGCAGCCAAGACTGCTGTGGTTGCCATGACGAGAGCTTTCGGGGTGAGTAGACAAAAAAAATAATCTGATGATGCAATCTCGCCTACCTGCCTTCTCTGCAGAAAGTTATTCGGAAGGACAGCCTTCATGCCGACAATACTAAGACGCTTGTATTTCACAATCGATTCGATGAAGCTCTCAGAGGTGGCTGGGCTATTTGTTTGCATCACTTGCTGAGAATGGGCTATGCCTCTCTTCTTTACTACTTAATAGAAATCAATCTCCTGCCACCTTGATCATTATTTCCTCTTTTAGTAGTCAATGCATTTTACTTCAAACGCAAGCTAATAATAACGTCAACTATATGCAGCGGTGTAGGTGTATGGAACGTGAACTACATAAACAAGTACATAGGACAATAGGCAAAGGCGTACTTTGTTTTGAAGGATATAAGAGGACGTGGCGTATGGAATGACGTAGCACTTCCCCGATACAAAGAGAAATGTTCTGTTAATAGACTTTCTATAAAACGCCGATAATTCCTATCCTAATAATCCCACACATTTTCTTAAGGAATCTTTAGAGAGTCCATATATTCTATTTATTTGCCTTATATATGTGTATGAATTTTAGAAATGTATAAAATTCTCAAAATGACATAGAAGCGTTTTGCTAAGTTGTGCTCTTATATTTAATCCATTAAAGCGAAGGACCAAAGGAGGCCTTTGTGTTAAGCCAGAAACCCTGCACAGTTTCTTGATTTTTTGGAATCTATTGTGAGGCTTGTCTTAAACTCGACCAATTGAGAGGGGGGGGGGGGGTGTAGAGGTGGAGCGCTGCTATGAAACCTTTCCCCTCTCCCGTCTCCCTAAAACAGGCAAACTGTACTTACGCCTATGTGTATAACCGTGTGTGGATGTTGCCGCCAAGAATGTCAACACCACCTTCATCGCCTTCATTCGCCGTGACTTCTCAGGACGACATTCTAAATTGTTGCTAAGACGTCAGCCTTCAGTCACAGTGGCCAGAAGTGATTGCAGGAAATAGTGTTTACATGATGTAGTGACCAGTAAATTAAACACTCGTGCACAAAAAAGAGTAAAGAAACGGAAGAAAAGCATTCCAACTACAGCACGACGATACCTGCCATCAGCTAAAACAAAAGAGAAGATAAAAAAAAATTGCACTACTCGCAGAGATCCGTCTTCTTAGTACTCACTAGATATCTGCAAGGAATTCCCTACTATGGTTTATTGTTTTTGACGAAATTTCTTGCTAGCTTTATTGCAAAAAGACCCTAATAGTAGCTGACGCTGATTAGGCGGCAGTGGCGCTGATATTTCGTTACACATAAAATATGTTCTGGGAACGGGGAGACTGGAGGTAGGGAGATATCTGACAGCACCGACTAGAATTTTATGAAGCCTTTGAAAGATTTTCGCTGAGTGCTGTGACATTTCAACGGTGAGTTACTTTCCGTAGACTTTGGTGTCTGCACCATTGTTAGAAATCGCTTCTATCAACGGTTGACATTGCTCTGTGGTTCAAAAAAATGTAAACTGAGCCCAAAGTTTCCGGACACAGGTAAGTATGACGACCAAGGCACACTGACTCCGAAACAACGCTCGTCGAGGTCGCGTATGCCTGCAGATTGAAACTGTGTATCCGATTCTGTCCACGAGAAAATCTATAAATAGCCATGAAATGCACCCGAATCAGCGGCACTCGCTGAAACCGCCAGCACAGCGGGTCATAGATGAGTCTAACTTGTAAATTGCTTCGGGTGACGTCATTTTCAGAGCGTCTTCATCCCCACCACGTGCGTACTAAATTTAAAGCACGCGCTGCGGGGCGACAACGGTTGGAGGCGGTGGGAGCGCGCCTTACACCTCCCCTGTCGACGTATCGCAGAGGAACACATGCGTATAGAGAGTGCTATGCGTTTTCTTTTGCCTCTCATTAGCCTGCTTCGACTCGGCGTTACCCCCTATTTTTACCCTCTATTCTATTCTACTCTATTCTATTCGTATTCCTGCCAGTTTTGCACAAGTAAGGACCACCCGCGAGGGGTGCAGAGCGCGCGAGTTTTGGCTCGATGGAGATATCATCTCGTGGCTCGTACGAGATGAGACTGGTATACATGCTCCGTCGCATGGTTTGGCTAAGATGGCCGGGCTTTTTTTAGTAAGACGTCGCAATACCGTGCGATATGAAACGATGAACAGGGAGAGCGGGAAAGGAGGGGGGTTAAAAGATGGCTTGCTTGTGGCGAGATGCCTGGTGTCTATAAAAGCTGTCGACAGCAGCTCTATTTGGACGCGGGCGATGAGCGAGTGCACCTGGAGACTACGTATTACACGGACGAGTAGTCTTGAGTGAAAACAGAAAGCGAGTGAGGGAGGCAGGTTTTTATGTCAGGGAACACTTCAGTGTGGGACGCCGAGATGATTGAGCAAGTGGCCGGGTGAGTGAAGGCGTCGGAGTGAACTTGTGTGCGCGCGATGGTGTGCCTCACGGGTGTGCCTCACTAATTCGAGAGAGAAACGAAAAAAACCTATCTCGGTTAGAGGGTGAGTTAGTCAGTGAGTGAGATCTGTAATATGACTTAGCAAGCAGGCTTTTGTATACTTAAGCAGGTCTGGTTCAAGACTAGATGGAAGAAGCAAACACAGCTATAAATGTTTGGCCCACTGAAAAGGCACATGAACCATTTATGCGCTTGAAAAGCAGCACATTTGGATGCTTCTTTTAATATATTACAAAAAAACGAAGATTTTTTTTGTAATTGTGAAGTCGTAACGGAGAAACAGCACTGGCTTCACTTGACAATTAGAACTGGTACAATAGCCGACACTTCTAAAGATTGTTTCGTGATCGTCGTGATCATTGACACTTCGCTAAGACAGTACAAATTACCTGCTTCTTGTGACACCTTATGCGAGCATTTTGGGAGTATGATATACTGCGAATTCTTTAGCAAAAGCCAAACTCATGCATGCTCATTCTACCTGAAATAATGTGCCATTATTTTTCGATGTTAAACGTAGGATGACCTCTACCTGAACCGTCACGGAGTCCGAGTGAACTGCATCTGTCCCGAGCCGATGAACACGCCAATGTGGTGGGGCATATCGGCCTTCTGCAAGACCCGCGAAGACACCACCGCAATGGCCCTGGATTACGACAAGCGTGTTATGCCGTGCGTGTTGAACTAATATCTACCCTATCTTAAAGCTATAGCTTTTTAGCTAGTTGGTGCATGTCTTTAATAAATAGTTGACCTCGCGCCGAATTCACAACCACACAGAGGAAGAGTGGTGTCTATGTGTTTTTCTTCCTCTGTGTGGTGGTGAATTCGGCGCGAACTTGACCAATACTATTACTGTAATATTGTACTATTATGGTACTATTAATATTATTGTAGTTGACTATTATTAGTAGATACTGATTTAATAAACATCTACCCAAGCGCCGCAGCATCACATCACCCCATTGACGAAAAGCTCACACTTCCTGCCCCTTTTAAATGCTAAAATAGCAAGGGTTGACCTGTGACCGTTGGCAGTTAGACGTGCTGTTTAAGTTAATAATGCTGCAACTTGTCATTACGGGAGAAAGTAAAAGAACACAGACGAGCGATAAATTTTCACGATGATAATCTGGAAGCTGCGTCAGGTATTTACGCGTGAACTAAAGCCACTCAGGCGAGCTCGAAAACAGAAGCGTCGAGAAACAGTAGTCCTATCTCCTGTTAAATATAGTGAGAGCGCATGTGCCCAGAGATAGCTATAGGGCATAGTCCGGAGAACGCCTATGTTCGAGGCAGTAGATAAATCAAAGTGCGTCACTTTTAGCGGCGCACTTTCTAAGCAAGTTTGACCTTAACACCAAACCGTATCGTAAAGGAAACAGTGCCGATACCGACGAAAAGAACAAAATCCACACACGCCATTCTCCTATGTCCTTTTTTCATTCTCCTCTTTATGTTCTATGAACTACGTATCAACCTTGGTACCAACAAGCTCAAATTGAAGTGGTATTACGAGCGGGTATGCATACAAGATACAAGAAAAATTTGTGCTAGTTCTTTCTCTTGTATCTTGACAGCGTACGTGCTCCTGATATCACTATTAAGCAGTATAAACTTGCCAAAATATTTGTGCTTCTATACGTAACCGTAGTCAAGAATCGCGTGCATACTTATGCAGCATGCTGAGCAATATGGCTGAATTCAATGCTGCAATACATAAAGACCACTTGAAATGGTTGTAAGACCAATCAGATTGCGAAATTAAATTTCGCGTAATTACGGAAGCATGATAGATGCCTCCTTATTTTTTTTTACCCGGATGCGTTCTGTTTCTTGCAGTGTCGAGCATGTGGCCAGAGGTGTACTGATGATCTTGGATGATGAGAAGAACGGTACTGCACTGGCGGCTCTCCACGGCAAGGAACTGCATTATTTCCAGTTCCAACCAGATTGTTGAGTCGCCCTCACCGGCATTGAAGTGTGTGTGAGTCGAGCTGAATTATTTAAGAGCATGTATCAAAATGTTAGTCCATGCATGTGAAAATGATTTCAATAAACGCCATACTTCACTTCGGTGGAGCCTCAACACAAGTGATCCATGTTTCATAGCGCGTAATATCTGTGCATATGAAAAACGGAACGGCACCTTTCTTCCGCTCTTTCATAACTTAGCAGATTCTTCGTCAGGTTTGTAAATTTCAGAGAAGTCAGCGTGTTGGCGAATGAGTTTTAATAGCTGCCCCAGAAAGTCGTTGCACATAGTTTTGAAAACCGGAGCAATGTGGCGACGCACTATTTTTGGAACAAACTGCTTGAGCAATGCTGTAGTTTTGCGCAACAAGTGAGCGGGACGATCAGCAAAAATGTTCGGTGATGGCTGTACCACCAACTAAGAACTGAACAGTGTATTTCTGGGCCTCTTTTTGCGAGCTTTAAAAAAATGATTAACCCAACTTTCGAGGACATGTACCACAAAATTAGTAAGGTGCAACAACGACACACAAGACGCGTGCGTGTGCTTTCTGCACGCTTCCTTCAAGCATCGCTTCTTCGTCAATTCTTTACCACCCAGTGTCTCAAAAGTACGTAGATGCTGCCTATAGCACTTCAAAGCTTAGCAGGTGCCACTCGGCGGAACTGCGCACCAAGACAGCGGGCTAGGTCTGCACAAACGCCCCTGTCTTCCACGGGTCATAACATATGCAGCGTCTTTGGAGTAATTACTTTACTCCACAGTATGTTTTAGCACCTGCATCGATACCTAGACAGTACGAGGATGGCGCGAAAATTAAGGCGTCGATCACTTTACTGTCACTCGAACCAGCCGAGCTAGCCACTCTTTTGCATATTCAAGTTTTGCGTTGTGCTTAAGGACTTCCAAGATCCTGGAGTTTTCAATGGTGTGCCATGGCCTGCACTCTAATCTCAGGCAGGGCGCAGCAACGTGCTGCCTCAGGGATCCAGGAACCCCCAATATGTCAGTAGCGCTGCAGGAACCACATGCTGATGGCAGGGGAAGTTAAACAAGAATGTCACGGGCATGAGTAGGCGTGCCGAATAGGACTACTGAAGTTACCTTTACATCAATCTATAGGTACTGCAATTCGTTGACAGTCAGCGCCTGTGCGTACTTTTCTCTTTTTTCGTTTTCCCGTCCTGTATTTTTTTCTTGCTTTTTTGCGCTGTTGCACAATTCACCGCATTCACAGAGATTTCAAAGAAGAAGACTAACCTATGCGCAAGGTTCCTACCTTGAGAAGAAGCTGGAACGGTTGCTTCGCTATTGCAGAGTGGATTGATGATATAGTGTTATGGCAACTATCTATATGTCTTAGTTGAATCCTTGAATTCTAACGCCCTCTATGTCAGAGTTCATGGACCGCCCATGGGAGTCCTCAAATTCTTTCGTAACCACCCTGGCACCACCAATTGCAGGATAGCATGCCGACACGAAAAGGTTTCCCAGCGCGAATGCACACCGGGCGAACCTACAACTTGTAGCAATGTACAATATTCTCCTTATATTTTATCACTTGTGCTTTTTCTGGCCAAAGACTATTGAGTATCTACACGCATAGCGTCATTTTAATTGTCCTGACCAGTTTTGATATATTTTCAACCAACATTCTGTTCCCTAGCGATGGAAGCGTTTAGCGTAAGTATACCTATTAACAATTTGTGTGTATCTCAGAACACCTTCAAGAAAATATTGACAATAATTGAATCTTCTCATGGGACATCATAAAATTGATAGAATAGACTAAGTGGAGGAAGTAAGCACTATAGGGGCACTATTTAACTATTGCGTTCCGCTCCTAAAAATGAAGCTTATGCGTCCCCCAACTTTTTGTCTACTGTTTTGGCACTATCCTGCATGGTTTGTTAGAAAAACGCTGGATACTCTTACACCTACATTCCCCAGCGTTGGTGTGTTCCACATAATCTTTTTTGTTATAATTCCAGAACGACGTCAGCGAGTGAACTTTCTTAATGCCATGGCATGTTGACTTGAATTTAGAACAGCATAAAATACCGATGCAGCAAATAAAATAGCCTGACTTGGGTGTGTATACCCGATAGTTCCTGGAGTTAGCAGGAAAATATCACATTTTGAGAGCGCCTCTTCCCGGCCTCAATGCAGAGGCTACATGAAAGGACTGCGAGTAAAATAGCATACGTCTTCCTGTCTTACGTTTTCTTTTCCATAGCATGCTCCAAACCAGGTCGTACCCCAGTATTCGCTCCCACGGCCAGTTTATTGAAAGCATTGATCCAACATGTCCAGATTGTGGCGCCGTATCTACGTTAGACCACATGCCCTGGCCGTGCCCCTCGTGACGCGATTCTCGGCACATGACTGAAAAGGAATAGAGCTCTGTGCTCAGGAGCTCAGAGCTTGTACATCAACTCTGGGCTGTCCAGAGCACGGATGAAGGAAAGGTAGAAGGGGCTCTGACGCCACTCGTTGTGAAGCTGCGATGAAGCCGGAAGTTGGCCACATTTACTGGGCAAATTCTCCTCTCTTGTTTACATCCGAATGTAAAGCAGAATGCACGACTCTCCCTCCGGCTCGGAAAGTACGTGAGCTGGGCAGCGAGCGTGTCGTGACGATCCGAAACTAATGGAACGGGGCTCAACATTCTAGGCCAGCGTGACACCTTCGGCAAAATCACTTCGTCCGAGTATTAACAGTGAGTAACAGCTCACCGACAACGGAGGAAGTACAAGAGAACGCGCATTAGATTCACTGACAACTGCGAGTGTTTTCACGTCATTAATTCAGCAACTGTACAGACAACACGATCGGTCGTGCGCTTTCTACGGTTGCATTCCGCCACGCAGCCGACGCAGCGTCCTGCCACTGTGTCCGTGTTCCGCGTGAAACTCACCGGCGTCAGCATTCTGCGACCATAGTGACTTTGAGCGTGGTGCTAGTGACACTTGAACGCGGTTGCTGTTACGTTGAGATTATGCGCAATGCTGGGGGAGAGTATACGAAGCGGAACAGAAAAGGTGTTTCAATACGCACATGCAAGTTGTTATTGTACACACACACAACACGAAACTACGTATGTGCACATGGTCGTCATTTCGTCTTGCTGGGCTCAACAGCGTCGTCCGTTCTCACAAGCAGGAGCACAGCTCAACCGTCACTGACCTGCAAGGCGTTCGTCGTCATTCAGCTTCGTCATGGTGCCCAACGCGTTTCGCTGAACACTAATTGCTTCATTCGCGTCATCCGCCGCGCGACACATGGATATGCACTCGTTCTACGCACTGTTGAAACCCCCTGATGGACAAAGGGATTTGTAAACGTTGCTAAGAGTACAGTAACTGCCAGGAGAACACTGCGTAACCAATAACGCGGCGCAGAGCACGGATATTGTCCGCCACCGCTCAGCACGAGACCTGGGAAGGCACACATGCCGCCGCCAGCCACGGCCGCTTACTGCTAGACCAGCTCTACTGCGCAACACGTAACCATAGCAACGCCGCCATTGTGCCCGCTGAATATAGCTGCCATGATGCCATTTTCTCCACACTTTTCACGTAGCGCGCCGGCTGGGCATGCCCTCTCCTACCTTTCCTTCCTATGTGGTCCAGAGGGCCCACGACGTGGCGATGAGGCTCGACCTACCCATTCCGACATGGGAGCGCCCCGTTGCTCTACCTCCTTGAGACAGTGTTCCTCAGAACCTCACTAAAGTTCTGTGTCTGTGTCTGCTTGTCTAGGAAGCCTAGTCACTTCTGCGTTCCATCTAAGGAGGATTAAAACAATTGCTGGAATGGGAGCTCCCGCAATGCATTGCCAGTAGAAAGGAAGCCAGCTTTTGCCACTGCCAAGATGGCGGAAACATACTCTTTTCTGGTGATGCCCACTTAAAGATCAAGTGGCTTTGATATGTTAATGTAAATGCTACATTTGCTCTATATTAAAAAAAAAGGTTGTTCCCGACGAACTAACACACAGAAACGAGTATGGGTGACTCAATGTCCAAACAACTTTGCTTTTAATTAGAGGCTTACTAATAAATATTAGTAACACTAAGACGCACTTGGAGCGCTATGTGACCCGAAAGGATTTCCACATTGAACTCGTTAGGCGTACGAAAGAAACGTTCCGTTCTTAATCGCTGAAGGGTGATACTTTATCATGCCCCTAGTAAGATGGCCACCGCAGCCGGCAGACGACATGGTAGTGACACCTACCCATCGCTTTGCGTTCTACACCTTATCACCTCCGAGACGGGCGCGCAAGGTGCGCGCGCTTTGTTTTCAAAGTTAACTGCCAGATGGCGCTCATGTCTCACGTGTGACGAGACTTGACGCGCTCGTTCACCTCCTCTGCACTCGAAGCACTCTAACGCAGCGCCTCCGGAATACCATTCACCCATTTCTTACGCAGAACATCAAATAAACGTTATGTTCACTCTCTCTACATGCAATGCTATCGTCTTTTGACGACATTTGCAGATTACATGCAGATACCCGGCCAATTTTTTTCTCAAGCGTTCTCACTAGCGAAAGTCGTGGGTCTGAATGCCAGTCCCGGTTAGCATATTTCAACGAAGGCCCAGTGTGCGATATCAATGCAGCAGCCCCCCACATTTCCGGAGCCCTCCAGTGCAGCGTGTCTCATGATCACATCAATGCAATAGCGCGTGAAATCCCATGTATTCCCATGTAAGGGTTTTCACTTTTAGGTGTTAAGACTATACCACAGGACCACAAGCACAAGAAAGACAGCAAACAACGTATTTCGTCTGAGCTGGTTTTCGCAGTTGCCAACTAATAAACCTGTGGCAGTAACAAGCCCAAAAGATCAATGTTCTCTGCTATCATTTCCTCGCTAACGCAATGCGTATTTTGCACACACGCCTGACCGAAAATGCATAAAACCATGCAGGCATGTGTTGGGCTCGGGTTTTGTTAAGCAAGTTGCAAGACTAGAGG